TGATCTATGTTCTCTGAATAATAAAAATAATGATTCAATAAAAGCGACAATAGATTTGATAAATGAAATGCTCAGAGTACATACTCGTAGATTCAATCAATAAATCTTATCACAATAGCCTAGCAAATAACTTCGTGCCAACACTGTCAAGTAAGATAAATCTTTGCGCAGAATTGGACACTGACTGACGCCACTAGCCTCGGCCGTTCAATGTTAACATAGAGGTTGTAAAGAAAAGAATTACTTTGAAAAAAGTATCAATGCGCCTCCATCGTGATAAATTTTCACTTCCATTTCACCCTCGCAGCGCCACAAAACTGTTGTTTTAATCAAATTTCTTCAATGTGATTGTTAATTCTTAGTATTGTTTTGAAATGTAGACTACTTAATTATTTTAAAGGTTTTCACCTATAATTCTACTACTACCTACTACTTTGACTCTAATGCAAACTACTATTATTAATAAATTTAAAACGTATTGCATAAGAACGGTAAATAGACCCAACACTGAACTAATTAATTCACTAATTTTATTTCATGTATAACCTGAACATTATACCTACTGCTTTAAAATATTTTAGTTTTAAAACAATGAATGGACTCTATACAACACTATTCTATATTGCATCATCTTGTTTAAGCTTCGGTACAGTTCTGTATAGTAATTTACCCGCAAGCATTTATTAGGGGTCAACCAGATCACTCGCAGTGAGACCGCAGGTGCGTGGTGTTGTGTCGCAATTGCAATAGATTTACAGCGAATTGGTAACATGTCGGTACGTACGCACTGCCTACATATTACATACGCGTATATGCACAATCGGCGGCGGCTTAACTTGTTATGACATTAATATTCTTCAATTAACGTCAAATTACATTAGCCCTTTCAAATAGCTTTGATGTCAACGTGTAAGGTGCTTAATTATAGTATTTATTGTGCTTTGGTTTCACTCTTTTATGCCAATATTTCTCGGGGAAATTCGCATAATAATACCTAATATTCTTGAATGTACTATGTTGAAGTTATAGGATCTTTTATAATAGAAAATACACATGGAACTTTTCAATAATCTAATAATGTCAAAGTATTTTTACAGAGTGTCAGAAACAAAAAACCTAGTAACCTGACAATAGAAGAATAGGCCACACTCTCAAAGAGGAACTTTACAAAGAACCATAGAGTTTCTATTTCAACATACTAAACTAAACAGAACACACCTATTTTGTTTTGTAGATACATATTATATTATTTATAGAATAGAAACACTGAGACCAATACAAATATTCCTGCACACAAAATATATTTGCACAGGAATCGAAGCTGCGACCTCCAGCATGAATCTTTAATAGGATCTTCAAAGATACAAAACTATTACACTTTCGATTAACTACAATTGCATAGTAGGTATAATTTATTGTTAAACAACAGTTTATTTGTACAACAGAATATACTGGCGTGGTTTCCGTTTTAAATGACAATACTTAAACCAAAAACAAACATTTTTTAGTGGTACAGGGTCAAACAAGCTGACGGTTTGCCTGATTTTACGTGACTACATCCGAAGATGGGCTGCTGCAACTCAAGAGACACAAAAGTATTCCTTTGGAATGTGCCCCCAAAAGATGAGGGAGGTTTGCATCTTAATCAAAAAGTCAAAAATTCTTCAAAGCAATCAATTCCTCTAATTATATAGCTTATATTAACAGAAGCATATAACTTATGAAGATGAAAAGAGTTTAAATATCTCTGGCGGATTTTGAAGACTATTGAAAATTACGAAACATCCTTAAGTAACAATCTAAGAGAACGGTTACCTATATAATGAGCATTACTCGGTCTATTTGATCGTAACTAATGCGATTATTTTGTAGATTGACGCAAAAGAATATTAGGTAGTACTATTGAGAAAACAGAATGTTTAGGTTTCTTGCATCTTAGTTCTTAAGGAATGCGCACACAATTGCACCATTTAAACAAACGATTTACTCAAGTTTACAGTTTTATATACTGGATTACAGACTCGTTTCAAATTAAACAAGATTTCATCCTCTTCTTTTGGACAGTTTTTACAGAAATCTATAATCAGAACAGATTAGATTCTAATAAAAATTAACTATTAGACGGCGCCTACGCCGTAGGTTAAGGATGTGACCTTCTGGACACTGCAAATTATTTATACAATATAAAACGTAGGTAAATAAGCATGTACACGAGTAAAAAAAATTACAGCAACTGTCTATCTCTCTTGGGATGAGGAGAAAAGTAGATAGACAAGCACATAAAATCTCAACAAACCTTAATATAGGTATTGTTTACCTACATATATTTTTAGACATCATACAAATTAATTTTAACGTGTAAAAATTAGTAGTACCTATCGATAGTTTTAGAAAGTAGTTTATGAAACAAATTTAAGATAACTATATGAAGAAAGCATTGAATAGTGTCAAAAACGGCATCATATAGTTTTTTTTTTGATATAACAAAGTGCCTACTTAATGAAGTTCATGAGTAGTAAAAAGGTAAGAAATAAATTGGTAAATTAGTTCATAGGTATAGAACTTTTGGTGCGGTTTATACGATTTAATATAGTTATGCTTGTCGAGAAATGGATAAAATAGAACCGAATCATAGACAGCAAAATAATACATAATCATATAAAAATAGTAAGTTAGTCAAGTCTCTGTATCATTTAGCTTTACTCGAAACAGCACGCTAATACAAAACCTATTGCACCTTTCATTTTACAAGTGTGGAAACCCCCTCGGGCCGACACCCCGGCTCAGCGGGACGGAATCGAACCGACTAAGACCACATGGTGTGCCACTCTACGCCTGACATAGGAGGGATCCGAGAACAGCTGATATTAATACCTAGCACAAATCTATTGTACCTAACCTAACATGACCTGTTATGTAACCTGTGTATAGGAAGGTTGCATGTTGTGCATGTGTGCTGTGATGAGTGGTGATTATTTGTATGAATACAGTTTTGAGTAATGACATGAAGTAGTGGTTAAACATTATAGATAGAAAGATATATGAGGCTTTATTTGTGCACGAGAGTTTTACAGACATTATAAAGTATTAAACGTACAACAAAGTATTGTACAAAGGACTGAAACTGAAAATAACCGTCGATAATAACACAATAAACATGCGAAGTTTCGCATGAAAGGTGTTTCAGTATTGTACGTATTTAAGATATCTACTATAATATTTAGCTATGTCTTTAATTACCGCATAAAATTACTCACAAACCTACCTACCTTGGTGGGCACTTGTTTCTTCTAAAACTAGGCCAAAAAAACTCTTAGGTCGATTAACAATTTATCGTTAAATGTAATTATGTTGTAACGTTACAAATCGAGAAGGGCTTAATCGTTTTCTTTCTTTTTTTGTTGTCAATTTACAATTATATGATTGAGAAAGATAGTTGTTTATCGGATTTCATAATACTGGTAAAGTTAGCCCATTGTTATTGCTACAGATAACTCCATCGGCAATCGACGTTGCGGCTAAACTATCACTTACTCATTACCATGATCTATTAGGTGTACTAATTAACTAACTAGATGCAAAGTAGCTTTGAGAAGGTATCCATTTAATTCGACCTGTGTTTTTCTAGTCTACTGTAGACAAACGAATCATCGCATACCTATTAAAAATGATTATTAGAAATGCGTAAAATACTGCTAAGGTATTGTTTCTAAAGTACATAGGATTTACCTAAAATATTATACCAAACTAGCTGACCCGCGCAACTTCGACTGCGTCTCTCAATAGTAATAATTTTTCTTCGTTTTTGAAACATTCTTCATTGGTGCTCCGCTCCTATTGGTCTTAGCGTGATGATATATAGCCTATGGCCTTCCTCGATAAATGGGCTATCTAACACTGAAATAATTTTTCACATCGGACCAGTAGTTCCTGAGATTAGCGCGTTCAAACAACCAAACAAACTCTTCAGCTTTATAATATTAGTATAGATTGATAACTCGGGACGCCTGACAGAAGTGATAACTTAAACTAATCTAAGTTGAACTATTTAATATTGAAATTGTTTAACTTGAGAAAAGCTTAGGTTATTAATTAAATTTTATACAGTTAAGTTAGTTTTTCAACAGTATATTAATATGATAATGTAAGGAAAGGTTATTTATTAATTTTTGTGTATTTACAATATAAGTATCATTATTTTATCTTATAAAAGTAACACTTGGTTTATGGTAGCTATAATAAGAGAGGAGCCTGCCTACCGCTGCCGTATGCTTGACAGAAAGGGAAGCCAGACAGACTGGCACCGTAACGCGTTACGTAACGAAGCAGTTTACCCTACCATAAGAAGTTATCACTTCAATAGACATCATTTGAAAAAATACAATAGGACCAGTATCAAAAATTATTTTCAGTCTACTCGAGACTTGTGAAAGGTAATATTGTTACAATTATTATCGCTATTAAGTTTACATACCAACGAAAAAGATAGTCATCCAAAAATGTGGGTTATTTAATAAACAAAAACAAGTATGGTCATAACAATTTATTTATATAAACTTTAATATAAAACGAACATCACACTAAATTGTGTACTTAAAATATTAATTACATAACATAAAAAATAAAAGTATTCATTAAGGCACGACTCACACTAATCATTACAAAAAAATAAAGTACACTGAGGGTTATTAAAGTTACATCTTGGTAGGGCCCTTTTGGCTCTCTTCTTCCAACGCAACCAGCATGGTAACATATCGACGAACCTTTTATACAGTGTTGAAAGCAACTGAATGTTAAACAGGGGGTCATTGGTGAAGAGTTCAGTGCGGTCCAATCGCAATTCTAAATGCGGTCGTCGTCAACAATCGAGTTAATCATGAAATAAAGGCAATAAGAGGCAACGTGAACAACGTGACATGAGTAACAATTCATGTACACGAGTTGATTATCCCTTAGAATTGATTAGACTGCGTTATAACTATTGTATATTGATAATTATGTTACACATTACAAATCGCCTGATAAATTTCTAAGTGACTTTTTTGAGCCGGTGTCAGATTTAGCTGCCTGCTCGCCTTCAGGAATATGACGCTGCCAGGCCGAACCTCTATGGGCTCCGTGTCACAAGCCACTCCATATCCTGAGATGACAATGAGTAGACTCGGGCTATCACGCATTATTGTGTTGAACGAATCGCCACCTTCCACCTGTGACATACAGGTTTTTAAATAAATATAAAATATCATTAGTTTTTATTAATATAATGTGTATATTATTCAGATTATTTTCAAAACTCATTACAATACTTCCTTTAAAAGATGCTCAATAACATCAGATTTTATTCTGCAGCTTTCTGATTATATTCCAAAAAGTAAATTCAGCTGATAACTTACCTCTATCCTTACAACAGCAAAATCTGGCACAGGTGGTTTCCAGATAGCGGTGTTCGGGTCTTCGAGTTGTGGGTTGAATAGCAGCTGATCTAAAGTGTAGCTGCAATAATCTAGCATATCCACTAATGTTGGTACATCAATGTGTTTAGGAGTCAGCCCTGCACGGACCACGTTATCAGAACAAGCCATGCATTCCACACAATCTGAAAGAAATAAAAGTTTAATTTTTTTAATGTTCTGAGTACAATTTTTTAACACTTTTCACCCACTCTAAAACGTCGGATTGGACCGATGACAATACAAAAATTTCATTTTACTTAAAGTTAACGTTGTACAAGGCGGACGTTATGCCATGAGGCATTCTCTCCCAGTCAATTAGGTGAAGTTGAAATATGACATGGTAGGTGCAAAGATAAAATATTAAATTTGTCATAGTTCATAGTTGGATAACTGAGAAATAAACCTACATTAGATATAACTAAAATATAATCATTAATTATTTATTTAATCCATCAGGATCTTCAAGATTAACGGCTTTTTCCGTATCAAAAATACGGTAGTCTTGGGCATCATACTAGGGTGTACTAAAGCAATGTGCTTTTCAAGATATTTGATAATTTAATAAATTTACTTTTACGGTATGGTAGTGTCTTGAGCGACGTATTAAAGCTTTAAAAAAAAATATAATAATTTTACCTTTACCAATACCTGTCAATAAAATATTTATCTATCAATAAATAACAATTGAAAACTAGCACCCCAAGCATTTTTCTTTTTGAACTTATAGAACATTACTTTCTACTTTTTAGTTTGGCTAGTACAAAAGCGTGTTTTTTTTTCTTTTTTAAACTATAATTTATTTTAACTTTTACTAGTTACTTAATAGAAAAGAATAAAGGCATTTGCAATGAGCTATTTCAACATAATCCTAAATATGATTTAAGTAACTTCTAAGCTATGTCTAAGCTTTTAAAGATTCTTATGGAAGACATACTTTATAAATGCAAGGAATCATTTCAAGTACGAAGCATATAGAAGTATATATTTACTGATGAAATATATTATACATTCTTATGTATTCCTACCTACTATTTGTACTGAGTGAAAGTACATATTGTCTCTGAAATTAAACTGCTATCTGTGCGTGTTAAGTTTTCAAAGGTTTAAATTGTTCTAAGAATATAGGATACACATAAAATGCATCTAGTTAAGGTAAATAACACTGGTTTGCTTTAAATTGCCAAGTGTAAAGACATTTTTTTTACCTAACTAGACAAACCTAAGCACAAACTAAACAACAAATGTAAGCTATTGGGAAAAATAAGTACTATGAAAATGTCATGACTATTACCTCCACTTAAATATGCATGTGGCAAGTTTGGCTTTAGGAAGATAGCTTGTCCAGGTTGCAGAAGCATGTAGTTCATAAAATATGGTGCAAAACAGCCAATATCACCCGGAAAGTCCGTGTGTAGCCTTTTCACTAATGGATATAGTAATGAGACTTGAATTGCTTCATCTGTAAAATTAAATTAATTATAAGATTTAAAAGCTATGGTTCTATTCTATTTTTTACAGTGAAACACTTAAATGTAATAATTGGCCTTCTGTCTTAGTGTCTATGAATTATAAAACTATTTTTCATTCAGTCTATCCTGTAGGACATTGACAGTTAAGAATTTTGCTTGACCATCTCCATCAAGCAGGCCTTGGGATGGAGGAGAGTTGGTAATTTTATAGCATAACTATTCTGAACAAAATTTATAGTAATTGCATTACAGTACATTATCAACAAAATTATGACTGCTAATTAATAAAATGAAGTAATTATCAAAAAAAAACCAATCAATTTAGGTGTTAATACAAAAAACCATATGTGTACCAAGGTATCAATGTACTTTGGTATACATATAACTTTTGTATTCTAACTTATAAGATAACCAAACGAAACATTTGGTTTTATGTACCTTGAACAACCTTGAACAAACTGATTATTGTATTTTCTGCTCAATAAATTTAAATAGCCATTACATCTTAACAATCCATTCTTACCTTCTTTGTCCAATCTATCCAATATAGCCAGCAGTGTACTTGCAACAATAGTCTTATCAGATGTCATGAGTGACTGAAAAACTGACTTGAGGATCGTCCCATTATCTCCCTGTTCCTCACAACATTGTAATATGTCTACACTTTCCTTAGACAACATATTCACTAGCTCCGGCAATTCTAAAAGTAACAAACTTAAATAACTTTATGGAATCCTATTTAAGAGAAAGGTTTGGATTTAAGAGGATTTCAAATGTCATCATATTACTCTAGAACTCTAGGTACTATACATACGAGGGGTGATCAATAAGTAATGATAATCAATATGAAACAGAACTATTAGATTAAAAAAAGTATTTTATTTTTCAACATAGTCTCCTTGCAAGTTAATACATTTAGTGTATCTTTTTTCTAAGCCCATAATTCCCTTAGAAAAAAATTCTTTGTCTTGACCCTCCCAAAATGCCTCTACTGCGGCCATCACTTCACTATTGTCCTCAAATTTGTTGCCCCGGAGGTGTTCTTTGAGCCGAGGAAAGAGGTAGAAGTCACTGGGAGCTAGATCTGGCGAATAGTGAGGGTGTTCGAGCAGTTCGAACCCCGTTTCTTCAATGGCAGCCATCGCAACTGCGGCTTTGTGAGCTGGGGCGTTGTCTTGGTGAAACAGCACTCCAGCGCGCAGTTTACCGCGTCTTTTTGACTTAATAGCTTCTCGCAATCTTCTTGTTTGGCCTGCGTAGTAAGAGCCTGTTATAGTGGCCCAGTTTTCCAAATATTCCACCATAATAATTCCTTCTGCATCCCAGAAAACAGACGCCATAACCTTTCCCGCTGAACTTGACACTTTGAATTTCTTCGGCGTTGGTGAGGAAGCTCGTTTCCAAGTCATTGATTGTTGTTTGGTTTCGGGATCAAAGTGGTGGATCCAGGTCTCGTCCATGGTCACAAAACGCGACAAAATTCTTTATCGGCCTGGAACTTTTGAAGATTCACCCTCGAAATGTCGACTCGTTTCTTTTTTTGCTCGTCGGTTAACATTCTCGGTACCCAACGCGCAGAGACCTTTTTTAACCGACTTCATTCATATGCATTTTGTTGACAATGATTTTTTGAACGCTGCCATAGGAGATCCCTGTGACCTCAGCTACATGCCTTACGGTCACCCTTCGATCGGCCAACACGATATCTTCCACTTTTTTGACGTTTTCTCCAGTAAGGGACGTGGAAGGGCGTCCCTCGCGATATTCATCTTCAGTGGAGGTTCTGCCCAGCTTAAATTCCTTTGCCCAGCGTGCGACTGTGGAATATGGAGGAGCAGACTCCCCCAATGTTTCCTCTAAGTCGCTGTGTATGTCTTTGGTAGACATTTTTTTCAGGCAGAGGTACTTGATGACAGCTCTTATTTCATTTTTCTCCATTTTGATGTTTTCTCTTCGACAGTTCGTATTCAAATGAATGTATCTCCCGGTAATGGTGTCCTCTTTATACATTTTTTTGAAGCTGAAGTAGTGGATATATAAGCAAGCAGAAAAAAAATAATTTGGGTTTTTGTGCGTTCTAGAAATACTCGATTATCATTACTTATTGATCACCCCTCGTATATATTTTAATATCAGTATCATCTATAATAAAGTTATAAAAAGGTAAAGTTTGTAAGTTTGTATGTTTGGGGTAATCTCCGGGGGTAAATGTAAGTGTTTTAATATGCCTCTTTCTACCTCTTCAGCTTGACTTCCTCCTCCGTTTTGACCGAATAATAAAACTATTATTTTTTTGGACTCTGACACACAAAGCCATCTAGATTCAAACTAAGCAGCGCATTTTTTCTGTAAATACATACATATTACACATAGAAAACACCCAAACCCGGTCCAACTTGGGAATCGAACCTGAGACCTCAGAACAGCAATCGCATGAGCTACCGCTGCACCACAGAGGCAGCTGAGAAAAACTGATAACAGTAACAATTAATAGGGAGATTTCCAAAAATTTAAATAAAATACTGAAAGTCAAACATACTTTTAAGAAATCCCTGGATTTGTGATAATGGCCTGAATCCACAGAGTGCTTCAAAGGGAGTTAAAGCAATAGCAAGCTCTGGTTTATGGTTAGGATCTTTGTATATGTCTGGGAATTGCTTATGAAGTTCGTCAGCATGTGCCTGAAAATCAAAAACAGGTATTTATTTTAGAATTATTGCAACACAAATGATTTGTGAATATTTATGAAATCAGTTTTTCATTGTCTGGCTCTCCATTAAAAGTACTAACTCTTAAATTATAACCTTCCATGATATATATATTTATATAATTTTCTATTTGTATAAGCATCTATACAAGTTTTTATTATTCTCTTTATAAATTACCTTTATTTCCTACCCTTTTTTTGTTTCTTTATGGGAATGTATTTTTTTTAAATTAGAATTTTCTTTAGAACTCATTATAAGTACAGTACACCTAATCACTTATTTCGACACCAACCTAAGGAAAACTGGCAGAGAATACCAAAGTCCATCTTTGTACATACTTATGCATAAAGTGTTAAAAATGTGATGGTCTAATTATTTACATTATTATTATAATAAATTAGAGGCTTACCTTATTAGGATGTGCCTGTATAGATAGTGCCTTTCTAATAGATAATACTTTTAAAAGAAAAGGCACGGCCGCACCAAATTGTTTTCTCACAGCAGGTCCTAAAGCGTCCAAGTTATCTTTAATATATTCTGATAGTAATACATCTCTTTCTTTAATCAGAGACGGACCATTGGGATGAGTACCCATCCATAGCTCTGCATATGGTTGTGTTGGATTTATTTCAATTTCTGGCTGAGCACTAGCTAGTAATTTAGCTACTACACTATCTTCTCCTAATTTACCCCAATCATAATTCTGCACTTTACACTGTAGCTCCATTGAAAGTCTGTGAAAATGAATAAAATAATTTATTTAATAAAGAAATAAGTTCAGAGACATATTTAATATTAGCAATGGAGAGTTTAATTTTCAATACCGATACAGACCTTTTAGAGATATCGTCGATAATGTTCTATCTACGACATTAATATCATTTGTCGTCGTTATCAATGTCCATAAATATCAATATTTATAGAGTATTGGTGAGTTGTAAATGAAAGATACAGAGGTCCTTCTGATTGAACAACTGAACTAACCTAACCAGTAATAACCACTAACTACCGACAATAGAATAAATAGAATAATTAAACGACTATGAATAACAAAATTGAGTTTCATTGAATCAAAGAATATAATATCTACTCTCTTACTGACTGAAAATTGATTAAGAAATGCCAAATGATAACGACGTTTGAGATAGGGCTGGCGATCTGATTTCGATTATTCAATTAATCAATTACTCGAGCCAAAAATAAATCATTAAAAATAGATTCACCCTAGAAAATCATTATAAGATTTTTTCTGTTTTGATAAAAGACAAAAAAACGATTTACAGTTAGTTGAATGTACTCAAGATGAATAATATAGTGTAGAATAGTAAAGTAGAGGAACCCAAATTCATACGAGAGCTAGCCTTACATGCCTCCATAAGAGTTCATCACAATGAGTTAAAAGTAAGTACCCCGTTGATGTTGTTTTTTTCAGTTACTCTATTCTCCATGCTACTCGACACACGTAACACAGTTTTTCACTTAATTATATATAATAGCAATTAAGTATATGACTATCGGGGGATCATCTGAGCCTTTTCAGCGCTGGGAACGCTGAACCGCTGGGATCCCAGTAGACTTGACAGACTGTTGTTTCTCAAAAGCTTAGACATCAAGCATTAGGAAGTATAAGCTATATTTTATAGTATATTTTCTAAACTTTTTAATGTAACAAGTAAGGGACAACGACAGACATGTATGAGACTTTTATTGTGATTATTATTGTAGTTATTTGGCTGCTAATATTATCGACATTATAGTTTTTATTACCAGCTATTTAACTTTGGGTTGAAAAGTTATTTCAGTTTGTAGTTTACATTTAAACTGTACTTAAGTCGAAACCCATGACAGCTTGCCATTATTGTCAACCTCAACAAGTTAACGTTGCGTAGGTACCATAATATTTCCTGGATAATACGGAGGCCCTCTTATTTCATGAGCCTCTTCGTGGTCCTCCTTCTGGCGCCTCAATCTTTGTCAACTCGGTCCTCGTACCAGTTCAGGCAGATGAAGTATCTGGGCTTGATCATCGACGGGAGGTAGCTCTTCGACGACCACTTCCGACAGCTTACTCCAAAGCTGGTCGGTGCTGCGTCTGCCCTTGGGGTGGACTTTTGAAAGTCTGTTGTTGTGTTTGACTTTTGGCTGAGTTCCGGGCGGATAGCGGCAGTCGGACCGCGCCCAAAGAGGTACGCGAGTGGCGTGAGGCCGCTCGCCGAGCCACGATGGCTCGTTGGTCGTCCCGGCTGGAGGTTCCACGTGCCGGATTTGACGCCATAGAGGTGCTTCAGTGGTCATCGTCGATTTGGCAGTAAGGACTCGGCACGACACGCTGGCAATTTGCCCGGCTTGGGCGTCGCAGCGTCAGGTCCTCGTTGCAGTCATCGGAGGGGATCTCTCGCTACCGGCTGTTATACGCTCCATGCCCGGTAGCGACAGATGTGTTGTGACTGAGGCGGTGGAGAGGGCCCGGATGACCTCCACTCGGACCCAATTCGCCGTCGGCGAACCGGGCAGCGGAGGCTCGCTAACCAGCGCCTTATGCCACCCTGAGTGTGGCTGTGAGTGGACGGTACAGGTTTTCTTGTCGACGTCCGCGTGTGCCGGATGTCACTCAATTGAGATTGTACCCTAACGTGGTGCCCGTGTCATAGCGGGCAGGCGGTAGGAGGGGTTCTTCGTCTTTTTACAGGCGCAGAGTGGCACACCGTGTGGTTTTAGTCTGTCCGATTCCGACATATTACCCCGGTGGGTGACGGCCCGAGGGGGTTTCCACGCGTAAAGAAAAAAGTACCCTAATATTAAAATCTTATAAACACATTATTATGGCTATCTTAGTAAACCTTTCTACTCTCAACGTTTCTTAATAACAAGGATGTTGTTAATAGCAGTTAAGTTACTTTTTTACATAACGTTCATGATTAATCTAATTGAATTGAACAAAAATTACTAGTTCCTTTTCTTAAATTAATTGATTTAAAATATTTCATTCTTTTATTACTGCGTCTAATGTGTACAGTCACCCTTATTAGTAAAAAAGGATTGTTTTTAGCTCCTAAATACAATAGCGAGCTCATGCAAAATAGCGATTTAAACATGGTTTTTTTAATGTAATTTATATTTTACGCATATGAAGCTTATAAAACGTAGGAATACGTTTTGTTAACAGCACTTGAACGTTTAGTTATTGCAGTTATAACAAGTTTTTAAGAAGAATTATATATTTTTAGCAAAGTTCTAATAATCTGGAAATTACATAAAAATAGTTAAGATAGTTCACTTTACAGTTTAAACACTTCAAATATTATAAGGATTCATCATATGACTAGCTGACTCTCTCAAAAGAAATAAATTTTATCCGTTTTTGCAATATTATTATAGATGCTTGGCTCCTAGGTCGTAGCGTGGTCCAATACTAAAAGAATTTTTCGATTCGTGCCAGTTGTTCCTGAGATTAGCGCGTTCAACCAAACAAATAAACAAAACAATGAAACTCTTGAACTATATAATATTAGTATGGATGAGAGGTCGGTTATTATGGTACCTTTCTTATTTTCAATAAAACGGCTTTATTAAAAAAATATTACTATATAAATGCAGACACGAAAAACATCGATTTTAAGGAAATCAATCTTTTATACCTTGATTTTTTTGTGATCCGATTTTAAAGTTTGCGATTTGAATCGATCTCAAAATAGTTCTTTTTCGGCAAGAATCGCATCCCTAATTTGAGACACGTCATGTCAACTTTAGCGGGCGCATAATCTTTTGTTCAGAATTAAACAATCATGAGTTGATGTATGGGTGATTAAATTAAGAGATTTATCAATTGCGTCTATTAGAGGTCTTGGGATTTTCGTATTAATTTAAAAAAAAAAAAAACACTTAGATCTTAAGCGAGAAATATTATTTAATAAACTAAATGTTACACACTAAAAAGTAAGTCAATTTATGTGAAACTACAATGCCACAAATATTATTACGACAAGAGTACAACACAAAAATATTTAAGATCTATTTCACTATGTCACGTCATGTAGTTCAGTATGTTGGAGAGAGGTGGAACATTATAAACGCTAATGGAGAAAACGGCTCCTTACCAGTTTTGTTAGACTGAATAAGGATATTTTACGAAATAGGTAAAAGAGAACTTTAAGAGAATCTTAATCCAAGTCTTTCACTAATTGCTCAGAATAACGCTAGCCAAGGGTATAGTCATAATGCACAGCAGGTTCAAATTTTTTACGAATAATCAATTCCTTAAATACCTATTAAATACTGATCTGTGTTGTACTGATTTGATAAAACTGTTGGAACTTTAACTTTCAAATCTCCGAATTTGGTTGTTGTCATGTCAGAAGTATGGATCTGTGGAGGAACGTGTGTCGTGTTCCTCCAAAACAAAGGGAGGATCCTCTGACAAGGCGAGGTGATCGTGCCTGGCGGGCCGCGGCCCAACGGTTGGTGTTAGGAAGATGTATGTATATAGCATATATACAACTTTCCAACATCAACCGTTGGGCCGGCGAGAGAATTCTTCATATCGCGATACAGGATTAGCAATTCTCATTCAAGAGTTACTTCGTAGTTTAGTGTGTCTTTATTATATGGTGCTGTAGTATGTTTCTGTTTCTTTGTATGTGGGAGTCGCTATAGATCTAAGGGCATTTTTCTCTACGGTACAGGTAGAAAATTGTTGTCAAGGTCCATTACAATAAAATATTTTTGTTTTTATTGAGAAATAGAGCCTATGTCAATGAGAAATTAAGCTTTGAAACTACATGCTGTGATACCTACACAGAAGTAGTGATTGCGTAAAAAACTCAGGGTACTTGTAAAATATACATAGGTATAATATGATTTTAGTATGGTATGGGGTACTATAAGAATACCTAGCCTTAATAAAACATACTACAACATACATACAACCATTTTTTATAATAACAATACCTAAGTATGTGTACCTAAGGGCCTCACGAATTCTACTTATAAAAAATAAATAGTTAACTAAGGTAAAGTTTATTTTATAGTTTCAAGTGAGAATAAAAACAATTCCAATTAATTTACATTTAATAATCATGAAAACATCGTTCAGACGATATTTCCTAATTCACTATCATCTTCCGATTTCTTTACGGAATTACTTTTTATTTTACTGACGACTTTGGGAGTCATAACTTTGGGACTCGCAATTTTAGCTGGTATTGCAAATCCTGTCAGACCCCTATTCGTAATTTCTACGTTGGGTCCTTCTTCCATTGGTTCCCAAATGCCTGGTTCACCTAAAAAGTTCTGTGGCAGAGAACCTGATTCAAATCTTACACTTTGTCTTATATTTTTGTCCGTGGGACTAAACTTTAATTCTATCTCCTTTAAATCTATGTATGGGTTCTTTTTCATAATGACCAACTGTTCAAAGTGACGGAAATCTTCTTCAGTAAAGTCATTTCTATCAGTAAAATGAGCTCGAAAATTTTTGGAAAAATCTTGAGTCGACTCTTTGATCCTTTTCATTGCATTTTCAAAATTAATAGCCATTTTCTTTGACCGGTCTACATTTGGTCCACATTTCATTGAAACTGTAATAAAATTATATTTATTTCGTTAAGTACTATGTAAATGATTCAAATTAAAAAAATGTGTACGACTGGGTACCTATGTTAATGTAGAATACCTACCTACTAATAGAGTACTTAATTTTTTTATAAGCTAAGTTTTATTAAAGGAAACTATTCTATATTCTAATAAACAGGATCCAACACCAGTCAGTCGCTACCACAGAACAGAAAATATTCTTCTCTGTCCTGTGGTCACTACAGCCAATTGCGAAATTAACGCTATCAAGTATTAAGACTAATCGAAACATCTAACAATTCCGAGTCCTTAATATACCCACCTAATACCCGTTACTTGATAAAGGGAATTCCCGAATAGATCCCGATATAAGTAAGTACTTACATATGGAAGGTATGTTCTTTTTTGTTTGTGGTTATATTTAATCACATATTTTTTGGGTAAAGTTATAGTGTTATTTAAACATAGAGCAGAATTGACCACACCGATCACTTCACCTTATATTTTTATACCTAAAATTTGTCTACCTATATTACATTTAATTAGAAAGTTAAATAAAACGCAGTTGTACTTTTTTTCATAAAATAATTTGCAAATACTCAGTCATTTAATCGCATACAGATTTAAACACACATCAGATTTTTACTGAAGCTTAATATTTAAAGACGAATATTTCCCCATAAGAAGGCTGTTGTTAATCGCTTACGGTCAAAATGTTGCATATATTATATTAATATTACATACGTGCTACCTTCCTTTCAATATTAATATACCTGATATAATTATATTCTTGGATGTATGCGCGTATGCTTATTAAATTTGATACCAAGATCTACTCAATGGGAGATATTAGATGAGTTTGTACCCAGGCGCGGTCGCAGTCTAAATTTTGGAAGGGGTTACTAAAAAATAATATGTCAAGTAAATTAGAGTTTATTGCACAATACACAATTTTATTGAACACATTATTAAAAAAATGGACGTCTTCTATTTTTATTGGCAAATCGGTGATAATATTTGAGACGTCAAGGGCTATCTCTGGATAAATATTTGGAAGATCTACAACATAAAAAAAATCTGAATGTTTTACCAAAAAGGGATACAGTACCATAATACAATAAGCTTCACCTACTCTAACTCCGTGGTCCTGAAACCACATCGTAATTCATTCACACGTAAAAATTATACACCAATATTTTATTTTCTTTCTCTGTCTCACCTACTGTCACAACATTCACAACCAAGGAAAAGCATGGGAATTCATTTTTTTATATTGTAAATTTAAGAAAAAAAAGCAATTTGACGTGTACGATTTAGGGGGGTCATGTCCTCTGTGACCTCTTCCCCTCCCCTTCGGACCGCACCTGACTGTACCACAATAGTTCAAACATTTACTCACGATTATTATAAGAGTTCAGATTCCAATTGCCTCTATGTAAAGGAAACGTGTAATTGAAAGTAAGACATAATAATATGCACGTGACGCTGATTACCGCCGCATTCCGATGCATTATGGCAGTCCTCGCAAAATATTTAATCATTGAATAAGTTTGCTTGAAAATACACCGACACATGCCATATTTGAAACGTCAGTTATGTATAGTCATGCACTCTGTGATTTTTTATTTTGTTGCTTTCAACGTAGACCAAAGCAGTAGACAAAATGTCAGGAATAGCAATAGTCAAGGAACCCATTCAAAGAGTACTGACCTCTTCGCAGTTAACCGACACAAAACCTACAAAAACTGTAAATTAAGGGTGAAATTTAAAAAATCAAAATAAGATAAAGTTAAACGCTACTACAAAATAATCAATTTAATTCGTTAACGTTTATTAGGTAATAAAGAACATAAACGAAAAGCTTCTGATTCTTAGTGTCATTGTGTCCATGTTATGTGATGATAACTGTTATATTATAAATTGTCCATTTAAGTCCAATAGTAGTAAGTAGTAGTTATAATTTATTAAGTATTTTAGATAATTTAATTTAAAAATTTATGAATTTTTAAAATTCATAAATAATTCCAACTTTTTAAGTAGATACATTATTATGGGGAAATACAGGAATAAATATCAATGAAATTCATTTTTGTCTTCCACTCTTTATAATACTTAACTTAGTTGCATAATAAACTAACTTACAATGTATGTATGTATGTATGTAACTATGCTTGTTAAGGTATATGGCTATGGTAAGACCCGTTATGGAGGATTGGCTCGAGAGGCATCACGGAACCCTCTCATACCGGTTGTCTCAGGGAAAGGATGCTTTGGAGGTCACCTGATCCGCCAGGAGCCAACGACTGAGTGCTACCACTGCGATGGTCGGACTGTGGACATGGCGCTCCACACGCTAACAGAATGCCCGGCGTGGGTTGAATAGAGGCGCGACCACGTGGTGGCCATCGGAGTGGGAATTCTCTCGCTCGGTAATATGATTGCCGCTACGGTACGGAGCGAGAGTGCGTGGAACTCCGCCGTCTCCTTCAGCGAGCAAGTTATGCTCAGGAGAAAAAAAAGGGTGGAATCTCGCAACTTAATTTTGAAGCAGAAATCTTTAACCGTTTGAGCTGAAATTTTGATGACAATGGTGATGACAATTGGATGACAATGGTTCTAATTCTGTTGTTTGAAAACTCTATTATTTAAACTAAAAATTAATTTAGACCTGTCAAGTACTAATTTTTCAGAATACGAAACGTTTTTTGGACAGGACTAAACTAATTTCTAATGATTTTTAGTTTAGTTTAGAGAGTTTTCGAACAACAGAATTAGCTCCAATGCATAGTTAGCTGTATGACGTCGTTCTAAATCCAACATGGCGGAACACCCAGGATGGCGGAACCCCCCCCCCCCCCCCCAGCCTGTAAATTTGAGATATAAAAAAAAAATACCAATCGACGTATCTTAAATAGCACTTTCCAAAATTATTTGTTATTAAAACAGCACCCTCTTAGTTTACGAGTAAAAAATAAATAAAGATACTATAAGTATATTTCACTTGAAATACTTCGAATTTCATACCTACTTAAACCCTGCAACAAGCTTTTAAGTATATCATATAAAGTTGTTGTTAAAAGTTTTAAAGGAAAAGTTTATTTATTCTTTTTAGTGTAAATAAAATAAATACTTGTTTTTAAAAAGGTTTTTTACTTTTAATTTTACGTAATTTTAAGTAAGAGGCGTTTGGTTTAGGAGTTTTAGGACGTTCACAACATACTTACCACATATTCACAAGATAATACATAGAAATATTTTTTATATCGGTAACCGATGACATAAAAGAAATTGAGAATTTACATTCCCCTTTTGATGTTTGTTTACCAAGAAAAACATTAAGTACCTACCTCGAAGCGTAAATATTAATTTAAAGTGAAATGTTGGACACAACTTACGAAACAACAAAGTTACGTATCAACTTTGTTCTACTTTAACCCCGCCTGTGGGGATGGGTTTGCGTAAAGTGTACTCCGCCATTGGCTGTTATACACCCGTTCCCTTTTATTCCTTTTCGGGATGACGAGGGAGAGCGCAGTGGGCGGGGCTCAGATAATGGATAATGTACACACCTGACACTATCAATCCGCACACCTCTCGGGTTCGGAGAGCACGTATTATAAAGATGACCGAAGAAGTTGAAGATCATCAAACGGAAGCGAATCCGGTTCAAGCGCCGCGGCCGTCTTCCCCGCGGAAGTTTTTTGCTAGAATATATGGGCATCTTGAAGAGCCTAAAAATCGTAGTGTGGTTGAGAATGTGTTTGGAAGCGAGTCTTCTTCTGATGTGGAGATCGAGGAGAGTGAGAGCCCTCAGAACGTGCAGCCCATGGCGCCTCCGATGTGGCCGTCGCCACCACCGCTGCCGTTATGTCCAAGACCTATACTTCTACCTCATCAGCAGTTAGCGTTTGGAGCTGGACTTGCTGCTTTCTGTAAGTGAATTTACAATATTTGTTTAAATAAATCAGAGTTAATCTGTTTGATTTGGATATTCCAAAGGGTTCATAGATGGACTCTTCGGAAAAGATGTTATGAATATTTCAACTGCATATAAAAGCATATAAAAAAGCTGAAATCACGTCGTATTAAATAATAATTACCTAAGCCTGACCTAAACTTTGGTAAAACAAATGTGAACTGTGAGTACTTAACAAGCTAAATTAATAGGAACTTTTGCAATGAAAACACAATCGTTACTTATAGTTTTTTTTTATTAAAACATCTTTAGCAATCGTCATCATCCTTTAGTAATCCACTACTGGACATAGGCCTCGTCTTAGAAAGGAGGCTTTGGCCTGCTATACCACGCTGGCCAAACTGGTTGGTATAGGGTTTGTTTCAAGTTTACCTTCTCATTGCAAACCCTTATTATCCTGCTAAGTTTGTGTTCCTTTCGTCGGCTCTTACGACATCCACATGATGAATAGGGGTAGTGACACAGTGTATTCTAAATCCCTCACCACACGGATAGCAATTTATAGCTCTTTAGCAATAACAGTTCTGAAATAAATGTGACAAAAATTTAAATTAATAAAATAATAACTAATAGAATTACATATTTATAAAATTCTTGTCATAAAATGAATGCTAATTGTAGTATGATAGATACTTTTTAGAATCTAATAAACAAACTAAAATGTATCTTCTCTGGTAGCAGTAATTTAGAATAAATACTAGTCAACATAATAATAAATCAAGAACGTCGTTTTAACAAAGATATTGAGATATTTCTGTATATTGAGATTTTCTGAAATAAATTAATAATATTATTCTCTTTATTGAATTATATATTATTATTAAAAATCTTGTTAAAACAAAATAAAATTACTCATCGGACTCATCAACACTTTCAGAATCTTCTGGACTGTAGAATATTTTAAGTTTTCGTAAAATCTATAATATTCTATCGCCTTCGTTCTGACGATGGCCTTGCTCTAAGAAAAGATGAGTAATATCTATACTGTTATATTTTTGCGTTTACAAAATGCATCAAATAGATACTTACTTCGTTACCTCCTCTTCTACCTGTATCTACATTCCATTCACATGTACCATGTACCTTCTTTTAAAGCTAAATCGAAAACGGCGAAGTTAATTAAACACAGAAAGTGTACGCTTGTAATTACAAACCAACGTCTCCATGTAAAGTTAAATTCTATGGATTGCTCTTTATCTCTCTATCTCTCTGTCTTATTCTTTAAGTGTTTATCATGACATGTGTCTTCTTCTGTCGGGGATGAATTCTTAGAAAAACTATGACACATATCCTCCTTGGGAATTAATCGCTCATGTTAATCAGAGTTCAGCATTCTAGAACTCCTTTAAATTATTCTAATCGGATTCATTGAAGGCGCAGTTCGTTGGTAGCGGTTCCTCTAAAAAAAGGTAGAAGTTAAGTAAGTACCTTAATACATTAAATATAAAAAAATGTCTACGTAAAAGTTAATTTTAATAAACTCACCTTAAGTGTGGCCTTAGACTGAATAAAGTCTCAAAAAAAAACTCCACGCACATAGAAAGGTAACTTCCCCGTTAACCCGCCACCGCTTGAGAGCGAATCTGACTATTTTGTTTTTAGATGGTACTTTGAGATTATATTTAAAATAACTACCTACGTTAGAATATTTTGACCTATATGTCTTACCTACATATCAACATTACCTACATACCTACATTACAGTCTAGTTGTTGGTATATGGGTTTTATCTTATATAACTTTTTAACTAGTATATAGTACTCATATTTGGCCTACTTCACTATAATAGCGGCCCCGCTTCCGCACACATTTTTTTGTCTAATGTTCGGGAACAGTACTTTTATACATACAAATATTTTTTATGGGGGCCAATCGATGTTCACTTAATGGTACGTGATATTACGATGGACACAGGCATTTTAATAGTCACAAATGTGTTGATGCCTTTTGTTTAACCCCTCTACAGACAGAATCCATGACAGGATTGCTTAACGTCTTTTTTGTGAGGCCGTGGTATCACTCCGGTCGAGTCGGCACCTAACTGCCGAAGCAAGTTCCATGGTATAGACGGCGGTAAAAGACACTTTATGTTATTTTCTGTCCCTGGCAACATGTAATACGTTATGGTATTTTTTTCTACGTTATAAACTAATAAATTTTCCTTTATTTGTTTTACACGACCTTATTTCTAAGAAAAAATCATAAGTCTGGATCAATGAGTAACAGAGGTGTCGATTTACCTATCTGAGACATATTATTATATCTTTCATACATAGATATACCTACCTATGGCCATTCAATAAAAAGTTGAATATTTTGTTTGTATTGATTTCGAAATTTGAGTTTTTAACAGCTTCAAGCGACAAACTGAATCAATGACGATATCAATCAACTACTAAAAATGAACCCACTTACACTAAACGACACTCCACGACGTCTCACGTCTGCGTAGAAAAATGAATAAAACTAAAAAAAAAAATTACTAACAAAAGAATATTAGAGACTAACTTAGCCGTGAACATGCTAAATTAAATAGCTCTGAAAAGTAGTAGGTACTGTTCTTGGAAAGTTACTAATCGCCAGTGATATTTTTCCATAAAATTAGTTCAGCCCTTTCGGAGATTAGCGCACATAACATATGATTTAGGTATGTTTAATACTTCTCTTGCCGTAAATCGATCTTAGTAGCGTGCAATGGAAGAGACCTATGTCCAGCAGTGGACTACGATAGGCTGATGATAATTATGATGAAATCTTCTCTACACATTCAAAAATATAAAATTGCTCACAAATATGCTTGAAAAAGTCCTGAATCTTCCTTCATCATGACTTCAACATCATTAGAAAGGAGATTTTAGCCTACCAAGCTGGCCAGACAGATTGGAATAGGGTTTGTGTCAGGGTTTATTTCTCTTTGCAGTGTTGATGGTTTTAATTTGGAATTATTTTACTTACTGCTGTAGAAAAAACCTACCAAGAAATTTTCACACAAGTGTTTCCTCCTTTAAATAAGAATTTATATCAATTTTTGTTTATCGACGCATGATTGACGTCATCATTTTCATTTTCATGTTGATAATTTTTGAAGTTGACCAGGTATGGTAAAACATACAAACTTTGCCACTTTTAGCCTTTTGGGGGTGGACCTTTCAAAAATCCTTTCTTATCATATACCTACCTATGCCATCGTCTGTCATGAGTTCTGAGGCTTTGTGTATTTGTGAACCTATACCATGCGGTCTAGGCTACGCACAAAATTAGCTATCTATAACAAAGTTAGTTTAGCTAACAGAAACAGGCATGTTAAAAAATAAATGAGTTTACAATGATCTTGAAATTAAGAAACTTAGAAGTGTCCCATGTAGGTGTAGGTAGGCATACGACACACCAAAAAAAACGGATCTACTCTGAAAAAATTATAATTAAATATTTAAATATAAATTAGCGAACCAAGATTGAGAAATGTTAAGATTTGCCGTAAACGTTTATACAATAAATTTGTGAAAAAACAGGGCAGTGTAGTACGAGTGAGCCTATTCGTTGCCAAAGATATTATGACAAATGCTAGCTTTCACTTTATGCTCTTTGGTTAAATGGCAAATAGTAGGCGAGTGAATTCGGCATCTCTAAGTTCAGTCTTGGGTCAATCTCCGTTTTACGCAATCGGTTATGGTAACGGTTAGGTATAGGCTCCCCGTGATAAAAAAAAAATCAGGTCATTAGGTTTGCATAATATAAAACAGGTATTAACAAAGAATTTTAGCAAAAAGTGACATTTTAGGCATCAAACGAAATAACTATATTATTATATTTTAAATATACGAGTACTTTACTATTCTTACTCACTATTCTTACTCTCTAAAAATTACTTCTTTATCATCTAATAGATATAGGCATTCTGATCAAAAAATGTCTAAGGTGAACTACGAAGAGAATCATAAAAGGCAAGGATAAATCTATAGTATGCTGGTCTAGGAGTAGGCACTTGAGATTCAAACAGTTCTAGAATAAAGATTCCCAATTCTAGATAATCAGTTTAACTTTTATTTTGTACTTCATAATCACACCTTTCATATTTTCAATTTGGGTGCCTTTTTTGGAACTTGGTAAGGTTTTTTAGACAGTTGGTTTTAAGGCGATTTTTTATTTTTTCTTTGGTATTTGTTTTGAAACCGAATTCTCTTCGAGAGCCAATTTATATGGAGACCCCCGTTGTGTACTCTTGCAACATCCTCGAGTGTGTACTCTTGCACATATTTTCGATTTTCTAATCGAGTAAGGGGCATCGCCATCTGTTCACTGGTCAACAAATGAAAAAATAAAACTTTTTGGTGCAGAGATAGCACACTAAAACTATTTTTTTTCCTACGTGTAGTTTCACATTTACCTTTAGTTTTAAATATTGGCTGTAATCGGTACGTTCATACGCTCGGTTTGCTAACTTATCGGTGCATTTCTACAAATAAATTGATTTTAATATCATGTCTTCATCGCGAAGAAGTTGTCTCAGTGAACCAAATGTATTTTTTTACATTTGTAGTGAATACACAATTAATATGAATAGAATACCTATTACAAATTTTATAAAAAGTGCTTATTTTTCTTACTTTCTTCTTAGTCATAAATTGTAGATGAATACAAGCCGTGGATACCTCAAATACTTTGTAAAATGTGCTGTGAACACTTGAGACAGTGGGTCTGTCTGTCTGTCTGAGTCATACGGCTCGTATGAGATTCGGAGTACCGGAATGAAATGGAAAGAACAAAAAATCACATCGATGACTGTTATTTTCGCTAGGTTAATTTGCGTGGCGTTAACGTTAAAAAATGTATTTATCCAGACTTAGAATCGGCTAGAAGACCTTTACCTTTACTCAAGAAGAATTGAATTATTTAATAAGGGATCTTGAGCTACCTAAAGAATCTGTGGAAGTATTGGCCTCGAAATTAAGGAAAAAAACTTG